CATAAGTTAGGACTTCAATTATACGTATATAGGAAGTAAAATGCTAAATAGTCTCAATTGTTTACTTGGTGAAGAGACCTTTGACATCGCTAGAACATAATTTTTATTGTGTCTAGAAATGGAACGGAGCTTTTTTCTATTTGGGATTCGAACATTAATGAGAATACCACATAGGCATGTTAGTACTCATTAAAACTGAGCAGCTTAGTAAAGAAACTCGTTGTATTTTGAATCGATAAGTACTACGTTTGCATCATCGTGTGAACATCAGTATTAAGATGCAGATACATCCAGATAACATGTCCCGAATACATGTGCATCTTGGATCTCATTGTATTAACCTCGACAAAAAATATACTGATACTAGGAATTGAGAAGTGATACCACTAAAACAGTCCATATCCCTTAATAGATTGACCAAATTTCGGTTTTGAATATCACCAACGGAAAAAAACTAAAAGATAACTTTGACGTCAATATTAAATATAATGCTCCTGCTATCAGCTAACTGGATTCAGAACAACATATATAAGCGAACAATATTGTTTTTGATTAGATCCTCATCACGCTTTAATATACAGTAATATGTATATTCAAGCCTTTATTATTCTTATCAAAACTAGTACACCTGTCATCACACTACCAATCTGTACTTTTTACTTATGTTTATTTATGTAATCGATTCAATTCGCATATTGGAAGCTGGTATTTGGTGTTCTGGACTCAAGTGGACGGGCTAGGCAGACATAGGACCAAATAAGACGCTAGGCTGCTCATACCGGTCGAACGTCATTGGTTTTGTATAGTGCTAAGATTGTGTAATTCGTATTTTGATTGGTGGATAAATCACGTGATAAAAAGCCGGACATAAAGTCATAACAAAACTATTATATTTTCTGAACAATCTACGTTATTGACGAACTAATACATTTGAATGCTCTACATATATATCCTTAAGATAAGTCTAAGCTAATAAGCTGATTTTATTAAAATCTAAAATCATTAAATTTTTGGCGTACAATGAAAGAGCATTTGAGAATGGAATGATATCTCAACTCATGACAACTATATTAGAAAGGAAGAACCAACAATTGTGTTTCTCTTACGCAACACTCAAATATATTCAATCAGTCGTATTTATTATCTTCAACGATAGATGTTTTGTAATGATTACCTTGTTTAGATTTTTCTTAATAGAAGGTTTATCATCGTCTGGATATTCACGAAACATACATTTAAATTAACTTAATTAGTTGTATTTCGAACTGTTTTTTTACTATTTGTGAACATTGTTGCTACAATCTAAACATAGCCTCTACTATGATGAGTAATAACCAATCATAAATCGTCCAAGATTGAATAAAAGTGCAATTAATTCACCGCACCTTTTAGATAATTTATGTAGGTAGTTCCCAAGGTGATCGATAACTATAATACCAGTTTTCTCTAAAAATGAACATAATTCTCAAAGTTGAATCCACAAATTAATCTAAGCCAGACCACAATGTCCACAAATCCTATTACTGATAAAGTTTATATAAGGTGAATGAAAATTGAAACTATTTTAAGAAATTTCATGATTGATATTTTAATATTCCATTTGGTTTGTCACAAACTTTAACGTATTATAATTGATCAGAATTCATATTAATATTCGACATATTCTACAAATCACATCTTTCTTTTTAGGATCCTAGAAAGTTCATGCAGTGAACCGAGTCAATAATTAATAAAATTGTCTTTAAGAAATGGATTAATCTGGAATTACTATGAATTAATAATGAACTTCAAACTATCATAATCGTATTAATGTTTCTTGAATTCCAGAGTTTCCCTCCAAACTCAGAATATTTGCATACTGTAAGTAAACTAGAAACATAATGAACATTGATTCATTAGATTTTGAAAGTTATACAGATTTTTAAAATTGTAACTGATTAATAATGCACGTGTAATATCGAAGCCCTTCGTATTAGATTACTATAGATATTAACAAGTTTGCGTCATTAATTGCTTCGACGTTCAAGATATCATAACATCACCTTGGTACCGGTGAACAGGACGTGAACCGGCAACGCAATAACAGGACGAAACTAAGCTGTTCTTTTACGCCCCATCCCAGCCAATTAGAGAGAAGACCGGAGTCAACAGGAAAAATATGTAATGCCACAAGCAACCTGGAAGAACAAATAATAAGTTATCAACTTATGCGTGATATATATAATACGAAAATGTTCTTGAAAAGCGTCACAAAATAGCGTACTAAAAGAGAAAACAAATCAATGATGTTTAAGATCCTTGCAAGTGGGAAACACACAGTGAAGGTAATAGTAGGTGCTTTTGGCGCAAAAATGAGAAATACGCATTTCTACAATTATATTACAAAAATAATAAGTTTGAGAAGTGACTTCAAGGGATCTTGCATTCTCAACAATTACTGGCAAAGAATTCTGTGATAAAAATTTCTCCCTCATTCACGATTCCAAGCCAGTGATTTATTTTCACGCCAAATCAGAATGGTCTTTGAAATGCAATCCAAAAGTTCTTGAGGGAATAATTAACAAGTAAACTCAACCAAACTGACATTAAGATAGTAATTTATAATTAATATTGGACGAGAATCACATCATAATACTAATCGACTGGAATTAAGAATGTGAGATGTTCTGGATTCGAATCTCGTGGAACGGAATCATAGATGAGCACTGCTGAGGAGTCCCCGTACTAGGATAAAACGACCGTTTAGTGTTTTCAGGTTTTCCATGTTAGTCTAGTTTCAATTGACTCATGAATTCAACTATAAAATAAACATTAGTTATTTTACATTATCACATTTAAATGAAAATATATTTACACTTATTATCATCAACCTATTGAAGAATATTTATCAGTAAATCTATCTGTATTAGATTGAAAGAATCGTTCTAATTCTAAATATTTTCAAGAATTTATATAACTGTTTACTTTACCTACAAAATTTCTGATCTCTGTAGCGTTTTGTGTTTTCATCTTTAATTCATTATTCTCGTTCAAACTTCAATGATGTTCATCTATTATTCATGCCTCTTTGTAATTTTCACATAGTTTAGATAAACAAATAAATTATTGTCTAACCAGCTGGGCAAATTTATTATCTGTATAACACATTAAGCAGATTGAACAAGCTTATTAATAATAATACTCTATTCATAATTAATTTAACACATTTATATGATTTTTGTTGTTGTTGAAAATACTGTATGGAAATTTTTTGTAATCAACTTAAGTTATTCACAACATTTTCAATGTTGATTACATGTTTAGTACTTGATATTATCCGTCACTTTTCTATTTATGTTGTCAATGTCAGTTGGATATTACAGTGTTAAAAGTATATCTTCATATTGCCAAAAACTAGCTAGTTCCATAATTTACTAAGTAATTTATTTTAAAAACAACTTACATGATACACCGATATGTTTGAAGAAAGTTTTAGTGTGGTCGAACTGTGATTATGATTCACGTGCATATACGTATTATTATCTACCACATAATTATATAATGGTTACATTTATGTATTCAATTAAATCCAAGCAGATGTTTCCGAATACACATTATCATTTATAGTACAGCAATCAGGGATGAAATGTTTATAAAAGACTTTTGGAATATGTTATGCACACAAATATAGGTGTAGAATCCTGTCCCTTGACATATTTACATAAAATTATGCATTCCATGTGAATGGGGTGAATATGTTTGTTTGTATTTATAAATAATGATTGCGTAATAATATCCTATAAACTAAACAGTTAATTGCCACCTGGAATGGATTAAAGTTTATTATAAAATGTGATACAGAAAATATGTCCAAGAAGAGACCTCAATAGGTCACTTTAGTCACTACATTCCTTACTTTGTAAAACTGATCATTCCCACATGAAAGATATTTCAAATGCGTAGCTTAATTCCTATTCAGCTTGTACTGATGCAACCGTCTGAGTAAAACATAGTACCACACCAAGTTTTACTAGTGATCATGGTTATAACCTACTAGTTAATGAATCTAGTATATGTCAAATCTACGTTAATTCTTCCTGTTAACTTCGGAATTTTATTGTATTTGCTGACTCATACTAATATGAATCAGCCAGCTCACATGATTTAAACATGGATTATCTAGTTTTTCAACTTAGTATGTTTACTCCACTTTCCTCTCACGTTTAGACGCTCCTGATGGTCCACAAATGAAATGCCAACGTGGATGAAAGCTCTTTACCAGACATTCCTAATCAATAGTATACGTCGTGACCATATTTAACAGTTAACGAAGCAACTCAAAGGTCGACAAATAAATTTAAGTTGAGCATAAGAACTTTACTAGAAAATTTAAAATCTATAGTGCAGTTGGAAATATTTCAATCTTAGTAGTGTGAATTACTGTTAAAATTTACGGATCAAGACAAATATTAAACAGTATATTGTTTGATTACTCTTGATTGAACCTGGTTTAACAGGAATCTTCTTGACTTCTAGTCAAAAGTTGTAACATTCAATCGAGTTGAGATGGGTGCAGTAGTCAACTGTGGTCTCTTACTTACGCCTGTTACTCGTCATGTTGCCCACAATATGCTCTCACTTCTCATAAAACTGACATCCTGAAAATTTCACAACTACAATGATATCCTTCCTGGATTCATTTTCTAATATGAAACCATCTGGTAAAACGTTTTATTTACACATTATACAAAAAAATAGGATAAAATAACAATACTCTGATTCAAAAAGAAACTGTTTAGGTTATTTTGATAGCAAAAATATGTATTTTCAAAAAGAAATAAGACTGTCCGATTGCATAGAAGTCTGTAATACATAAGTTAATAAAAGAATCTGTTAAATGAACAAAAACCAGAATGTTTTTCTTCCTTGTTTTTTTTTTAATTTCGAAAATAAATATTAGCCTATTTCAAATAACGAAAGATATGATAATTACCGGGTTTTGGTTTCCCGAAAACAAAGTGCTTTATTGTTAAATTAACTGAAGAGAAAAAAAGTGAAATTAACACCTTAATTATTGTAGTTTTCATATTGAGGAATGTGATTTATAGAAGAGGATGTTAAGGCAAAGAATCTAATCTTAATGATTGTGAATATTCTGTATTCATCGGAAATGACAGATGTGATGATGGTGATGACAATGATGTTGGCGGTAAAGAGTTAATGAAAGAATTCACACCCACTTCTGCTGATGTTATAAAATGTGTTGAGGAATGAATAAAATCGTTATTTATTTCATTACTAGTATGGTTATTGGAATATGGAGTCGTTGTTTTATCGAGACCATGTAAATGAGTACGTTGATGTGTTTTACAATGATCAGATCTACTAAATGATTTTGAGCATAAATTGCACTTGAATGGTCGTAAATTTAAATGTTTTCTTAAATGTCTCGTTAATTCATCTGAACGTGCAAATGTTTTCCCACATATTGGTATAGTCAATGAATTAATCGGAATTTTACCAGTTATATTACGTGGATAAGGAAATACACAAATTAATGGACGTTCACCTAGAAAAATAAAATAAACATGCATCGTATTTAAATCAGTTAGTTCTTTTGGTCAATTTAGATGGAGTTTATTTAAACTGTTTAGTTTTGATGAATACTATTTTATTTGCGTTAAGGTATTTGTAAAGCTTCTTCGATTTAAAGTCTGTTTCACTTACTAACTTACTTCAGCTGGGGAACTACTTAAAACTAAGCAACATTGGAGTCATTTTATCCCACTTTAGAACCCGGTAAAAGTGTACATTAACAGTCCTTAATAGTCCTTGAGTTTAGAACCATCAAGGAACAGTTGTTTATTTCTGTTTGTTTTTTAAATGATAATTCAGCTAAAGTGAATTTATATGTACCAAGTTCAGAATATTACCTAAGTTTACATGAAAAGCATGTAATTTTAATCAGTTCACCTTTTTCTAATTAACGACTACATTTGAATTCTTAATACTTGCAGTATAGAAACAGCATATTTCAAGCAAATAAAGCACTTAATAGATAAATCGAAGGATTTACTAGAAATCTGCTATATTTGGGAATCAGAGCATAAGCAACATTTTTATCACAAGCGGAGTTTCAACATCTCATAATTAATCATTAATCCTCAAACTGTTATGCTAGTATATATTTGAACATGTAGAAAATGGTTCTTTCTGCAGCTTACATCGGTAACGTTCTGAACCATTTTTCTAGACCAGTTAAAATTGTGCTAAGAAATAAGATTTATGCCATAGTTTAGTTAGTTGATAATATAATGATTACTTATAAGTAGTCTTATTAGGTTGATGGCACTACACAAATTGACATAAGTACATGGGAATTTTTGTAGCTCTTAAATTGACTTTTTATGGCAGTAGAAAGAGGAATGACTTTCGTGACCCTAACGTTATTTATGATTACTCGACTTCTAGTTTCCTTCCAGCACGGAATTCACTCAGGTTCTTCCATTTTGGTTTGTCAATGCCGACGTGAAGCGAAAGTTGACATACAGTAAAAAAATAACTATCAAACTTGGGGTTATCTCTTGTTCATCTAAAACTCGGTTCAAAATTATATCGTTTTGACTACCAGTTGAACCTAATAAATACGATATGTATTCACACTTTCCCCTCACGTGATATAAATTTATCTAGTTTCACAGACATGTTTGTAACTTAGTGGCTGTTAAAATACGTTTTGTAGCCGACAAGCTAGCTAACCAATAAAGTAACGTAGCTACTGGATACGTGTACCTAAATTCTACTTGTCTGATCACAGAAAACAAAGTGGTCCATAGTATAATAAAGTAATGTATGAATATGTACCAGAAGCTTCAATGACTAGCATCTAAACGATTTCTATTCGGTAGCGGGTTATTTTTCCTTAATGTTTGAAATAAAAGTACACCATTAAAAAAATGTACCACTTACCAGTATGAATTCGATAATGAGCTTTTAGATGGCTTGACTTTAAATATCTTTTCTCACAACCTGCAATGATAAACGTTGAAGAAACAAACGTTAATTAAGTGTCGCATTTGAAAAATGTACGTACATTAAATTCTGTAATTAGTCATTTGAAATAAAGAAATACACAAATGCACTATTACTGATGTGAAAATCAAAGTTATTATTTTCATAAACTACGGTAGACCAGATCAATTATCTAACGGAGTTGAGATTTTGTAAACTTTACTGAGGAAAATCCACTGTCAGGTTTAGTCATAATTATAGTTTTACAATACACATACCTCACTTTAAGTCCTGGATTCATGTTTCATAATTACTGAAAATGGCAACCAAGTTACTTGAGTAAACCGTAGAGCTAAGTATCTAGTACTTAAATGAAGACCTATACACGAACTCAAACTAGTTTCTTAGCGTTGTATTGAGTAATGCCAGCCATGGAGATCCTGGTCAGGAATACACCTTAGGATGCTATGGAACTTTATTTCGAGCGGCTTTACATGATTATTGGTGTGTAAAGAGACAACACGCATTATTCTATTAAGTATGACTACCTGATTACTGCTTAAAAGGCTAAGTATAACACCAATTCTACGTTGTTTTGGAAGCGAAGCACGGCACTTTAATGAAATGCCAAAACTTAACAATAATCCTAGCAACCAGAAATAGTATTTAAGCTACAAGAATTCCCAGGTGTGGATAATTATTACAAAGTTTTTTGTATGGTTCCAAATTTGTACCATAAACAGAAGACACAATCTAGGAATGACTTTCACGACTAACAGTTAACTATTTCGCCCCATTCCAAGACTCTTCAGTTGTCCACAACTTCTAAGATTGAATACGTAACTTTGGGGACCGTTATACTCGTATCTGGACGATTAATATAGTTAGGAACAAAAACAAAATTCAAGTCATCTTATGGTCGATCTGATGCGGTCTAAACAGAAGATACAACTAGAACCAGTTGCGCAACTAGCATAGACTAAATGATCAACCACGTTTTTCGAAAGATTGCGCCCAGTGTCATACATTTCCAGGTATTTTGTACGGGTAAATGTGAGGTAATTTCAAGTAGTTTGCTCGAGTAACATTATGGAAACATCGCATTCAATCTAATAACCATACAGTGATATGACCGTTACTAGAAGCTACGCATTTTAAGTATAACCTATCAGCTAGATATTCATCAACCATGGATGGTAATTTACGTTAGTTGAAACTGTTTCCACTAAATGATTATCCCTTTGTATCCGATTGCGCGCTTATTACGAATTACAAATATAATACGTTCATTTGTGCTTATCTAGTTCTACCTACATTAAATTGTACTATTTCGGCTATTCTTAGTCGATAAATGAATTCGGATACTCCTAATTACCATAATTTCCTACAGACTAATTAAATCATTGGAGAATAACAATTAAGAATGAATACGAAAATCGCAAAATCTACTTGAAATTCTGACTGTTTTAGGTTTGTCCTTCCAAATTACACCATACTAAACAGTATAATAATAACTGCAAGCCATGTTCACAACAAATGATTGCTTAGCACTTAAGTTTAAGCCACAAATCTTAGTTGTTTTCATTTATTAAGTTAACAGATTTACTTTCTTGAAAATACCTAATGACAATGACAACATATAGTGGTTTGGTTGAACTAATGATACTACTAAATAGTGATATGTACTACTAATCAAGAACCACAATGAATAAAGAAAGGAAAGCTTACCAGGGAATGTGCACGCATACTTTTTCTTCATCTGTTCATCTTTGATCGAAAAGCAACTGTTTTCAGTATCACTATCCGGAGATTCAACTTTACTGGGGAAAACTCGGCTTTGGTTTCGGATAGGTGAATACGATGAATAACAATTATAAGTTTGATGACAACTGAACGAATGATGAGTATTATTCGAATGTGCAGGTGAATAGTTATGATCATATGAATAATTATGAGGTGGGATGAATGAATAGTTTATCATGTCACTCTGAGAATAGTAAGTATACCCAGGTAATTGACAAGTAGGATAATCGTTCTTGATTGCGCAGTTCGAAAAATTATCCGAATATGATGAATTAGTGTATGGGGAAGGAATACTGTGCTCATAATTTTGAACGGCATTCTCAACTCGCATGCTTGATTCCATATTATTGATTTCTTTCATCGGCGTTCGTCCCATTTCTTCTGGGAAACTGGGCTCAATCTTTACACAATCATACGAATTCGCTATCATCTGATTCGAACAGCCCCTAAATTATTGGAATACGAAAAGATCGGATTTGTTACGTGTGACAAACTACTACACTCCATTCTTCACACTAAAAGTGGTGATAATATAAATCCTGCTTATAAAGGGAAATTCAACACGATAGTGAATTAGCGCTTGACATAAAATTAACCAATCACAATTTGAACCATTGGGATGACTTATTACAAAAAATAATTTTGAGCGAATGAAATAACTGGTATTTTGTCACTCCTTACATGAATGGGTTGATTGAATAAAATTCCATTGGATGTAAATATAACCTTTGATGTTTCGGCAAAACTGACAATCCGACGGGATATTTATCCGAACAACACAGTTACTTTCTCAATGCAAATGAAAAAACGGACTCTGACAATTAACATCTGAGTGTTAGTTCATTGTTTAGCATTGATGTACGAAGTTGCAAAAAGTTCCATACACTATCCCAGAGGACAGTCCTATTATCCACCCAATAAGTAACCTGCATTATGACAGGTAATAAAACTCGAAAGTAGTTTAATTTAAAAAAGGTTTTAGTATGTTTAAGTGATCAAACAGTATAAACTTCATTTGAACATAGCCCACATGGAAACTTTATGTGATTGAAATGACTTTTAACGTTGTAGTTGAGGTTAACTTATTTAAAAATCATGTTTACTAAAACTCAATATGTCTTCAGTCCCAAACGTGTCAGATTCACAATATGTATTACATCCCGATGTTGCATACAATGTTGGAGATCACAGTCAAACTTTATTGGAAACTTTCCTGAACTAGATGAACGTCTTGCTATTGCAATTCTCTAACGAAGCACACCGTAATATAGATTTTGTCTCAGTACAATTAATTGTTTAGAGAAAATCTGGAATATAATTTTTCTGATTATTTTTATCAACAAGTAGGTTTCAATCTACATGTTTGGGTATTTAATAAGTTGAATATTAGGTGTCTGGCAATCCAACTTGGCTGTTGGCTTTACCAGAGTATGAGTTAGTAACATGTTTCGAATTGATAGTCATTAATTCGAGTGATAGTGCTTTCCCACAAACAGAACGATTAGTTATAATGAGTTGGACCAGGAAATATCACCGTTTTTGGTCCTACATATTTCTGGTGTTAGAAGGAGGGTTTACAAAGTAGAGAGCTTACATAATAAGACCAACTGACAAAATGTCTTGACTTACTCCAAACAGTCATGAGTTATACTGTCACACTCTAAGGTAGGAAAGAGCGTTTATGCCAATCAAGACTTCATTCATGCTTCTCGAGAAGAATAAATCATCTGAAGTTTGGGTAGCTAAGATGTGTCAATCATCCTCATACCTTCAGTAGCACTTGAATTTATCTTGTTCACCGTAGAACCCCTTGATTCTTAATATTTCTTCACTACCTACTATTAGTTCTGCTTTTCTCGTCTCATCTTTCTATATAAGTTCAACCAGTGATGATGTATGAAGCTAAAATGAAATTAAACACTTAGATATTACTTAGAGTATTTGGAACATTGAGACTTGATAGACAGACCAGAATCAAAAGTATAGACCAAACAGTTTAATATTGATGACCATTGTATTTAAGCATCTCAGGTCTGCCGGAGATTAATTTCGACACGAATACATTAGTGATGACCGCTTTGGTAATAATACTACTTACCATGTGTTAGGAACTCACGAATAGTTTCACTTAACTCAGGAATCTAGATAAGCCTTAACATTGATTGCCAAATATCATAATGTCGAAGTCCGAGATGAACAGACATCTTTTACCATATCAACTGTAATCTTATAATCAAATTAAGACCCATTATATGACGTATTTCCAGTTGGATATCTAAGGGATGACATATTATTAGTAAGCTTTGGAGGTTCTGTGTTTAGTTTCAAATGAGGTCATAATTATTTCATGTTGAGATTTCACAAACTAAGGCACACCAGTTGTTACGCAATCATCGACTATGGAAATATACTCAGTCAATAACAGTCCGAAATTCGAATGATGATATTTATCATTTATCTACTGTACATCTTCATGTTTAACTAGACAAACATTCTTCAACTTTTCAGATTTATCACAATAAAAGCACTTGACTTTCAGTTAAAATATAACTTAGTGCATTCGAATAACTCAAATTTATACATCTAAATTCTTGCAAGGATTTTTATTTCCCTATTGCTGATATTGAGAACTTCAACTAGACAGTCTCTTTTGCCTTACATGCGTCCCAAGAGTATTGCCTTGATTTCGCCATTTAGCCATAAGTTTTTAGTAAAGTGGATATCATAAACTAATAATTGTCTGGATTCAATAGTTCGGTGGATAACGTGCATAGAGTTTGAAGTGAAAATTCTGAATTCGAGACTCAATGTAAAAGTCAACACTAGGTTTTAGCTGATGAGGTCCAAATAAAAGGAAAATCTCTGGATTCTACTATTAATCACTATCCAATGTCACAATAACTACAAAATTTTTATACCATTTTGATTAAAATACTTAAAGGAACATGGAATCACCACTTACTAACTGAATCTTATTAAGATAATATTAAGATTCGAGATTTGAAAACATGCTTTTATGTGACAGTCTAAGTGTGCATTATTGAGAATTTCTAAACAAAATTTATTCAACTATTCATCTATCCCTGATTTCCAGTAGTTTCCCATCTAAATATTCATCTAAGCAAATCGATACATGATTTTCATCAGTGAGAGTTAAACTTTCACTTAAAATATTATTCTGATTATTATCTAAAGGGATTACACAGATATTTTTTTGAATTTCTTAGTTAACTTCATTGACTGATATCTAAAAGTACATATATGAAAATGTTCTTAGAAATGATACATAGTAAATATTAAGTACCTTATTTAGTAAAATCATCCTAAAAATTTATCTATAAAATGTCCATATTAGATAATTAACATTTCTAGGCAAATATTTGATTCACACGACATGTGACATGATAATTTTCTTATATAATATTTACGTAATTTGACCTATATTCAGGGAGTTATCATTCTTTATTCTGTTTTAAATAAGATAATGATTAATAAAGGTTATTGAATTCATTCAAGCATTATAACTTATTTGATTTTACTGTGTTAATAAGTATCGAGTTTTATAATGAATTAGAATTTAAATACTGCATTAATCTTTATACTTTTCTCATTTATATCATAAAGGGTTTTGTGGAGATTTTAGTAATTTCAATAGTTGATATCATGAGTCGATTGAAGCTAGACCACTATGGAAAATCTGGAAGCACTGAACGGCCGTTTCGTCCTGTTGTGGGACTCTTCAGCAATGCACACCCACAACCCCGCCTCGTGGGATACGAACCCAAGACCTACTGGTCTTGAGCGCGAGCAATTAACCACTAGACCACTGAGCCGACATCCAACGATGTTAATGTCTATCTTCAACTAATCCACGGAATTGAGCGACACATCTACCATTGTCATGTGTGATTTACTATCTCACTATCTCGTTTGTTAATTATCAATATAAAATAAAACAGTTTATATAAATCATAATGTTTAAGTGTCATTTACGGTAATTTCATTAAATTTCAAGATTGTTTTCACTATGAACATATGTCATTTAGAAAATTTCACATTTCGTCCCAGTTCAATACTCTTCGGCAATATTTACTGTGAGAATTTCACAACCTTCCAATTCCAAATTATTGATTTAGTAGTAATATATTTCGAGATTTGATGGTTTTGATTTGATTTTTTGTTTGGCTATTAGTGTGTACGCTAGAAAATTCTTCAATTAAGACAAATTCAAAATTTTTAAGTAACTAGAAGTTTACTTAAACCTATCTGATGTAAACAAATCAGTACAAATCTAGGTCTAGACCTTTCACTTTTTATAACATATTATTACTGCTTATCTAATCAAAGAAACCTTCTTCTGTTGTATCTTTTAAATCGTTTATCGATGAAAAATAAAGTTAATGTAAAAAAAATCTACCAAGCAAATATTTGGATGATAAGCAAAGATGGATAGTGGCTAGCAGTGGAATCCAGGACGCGCTTTTCGTCCTATTTGGGACTCGTTAGCTGGATGTACCTGCATCTCAGAGTTGATGTTCACTCTGGAACTCGAGCCCAGCACCGTTCGTTTCACGCGCCATTGTGTTATTTACACAGCTACTGAGTCCTTATAGCCACATATGCCTTCAAGAGACTGATCAATTGGGAAGACTCAAGTCAGTAATACGAAGTGAATTTAAATATTTGGATGCTCTGAAAATAACATGTTATGTATTGTTCTACAAACTGCATGATTATTTTTTCACTTAATCAAGCTAATAATGAATATCAATTATATATTAGTGTTAGTAATCATATTTCCTTAATTGATCCGCTACATCACTTTAGGACATACTGAAATTGTTGAGGTTTTTCTTTTATTCGACTTATGGTCATCATTTAGGTATTCGTGATATTTTGTTCTAACTTCACTCTATGTTGAAAATTTAGGTTTTACAATCTGCTTAATTGAATTCTCTGTAGACCTTTTTAAAGATACGAAAGTGAACAGTTAGGATATACAAAACAAACATCGAATGATATGTGTACGTGTTTCATCATCCCTGCAGTAAGTCTTTTGTCGAAAACTATAGCTCTTTGGATAGAAATTCAAGTTTTTACAACTTTACAAATAATCTACATCAGTATTCTTTTTGAGATAGACAGTGAAAGTTTTCAGTTTATTTCATATAAAACTCGAGGCATATAAACTTAGAATGCAAGTAGATAGTATAGAAAGTAATCTAGCTTCTTGGTAATCATCCACGGAAGAAGCTAAATGGGATTTTGCCTAATTATGCTAAACATTTGAAAGTTTAAATTAAACACATTAACATTAAGCATATAGGGATTAAATAAAATAAACCAATCTTATACCTAGTTTATTGTAATCAATATACACATGAGTAAATGTTAATAAGCAAAAACTAACATGTAGATTTATTTTGTCAA